AAAAAAAACACGAACAAACCTTTTATGTTTAGGCAAGAGTTTAGTTTGCTTAGTTAGCTCCACCCAAATTTATTATTATTTTTTAATTACATATACTTGTGGAAATGTTGTGTAAAGGAAAATAACCATAGCTGAAATTTGAGGCCCTTAGCTTTCCCCACTTTAGTAGAGGAAGCAACTGCAACTAGCAAAACTTTATTCCATTACAATAACATAAATCAGTAAATAACACCAATTTATCTTCCATGCAAATAACTGTGAACAAATAGAGAGACAGTTATTTATATAACTGATGAACGAATCAATTAGACTAGTGGGTTTCCAAATTTAATGTGGAATCTATTCTAAAAACAAATCAAACATAAGAGGTGTACGGAGTCACATTAATATCCCCATAACAAAAATATCATAATCTTTTTATTAGCCTTTGAAAGATTATTTGCTGCCATTATTTACCATTCTTTACTAATTTTCAGACCAAAATAATGCTACATAAATTCCTCTAAGGATGACCATATATGGATAATTCAAATAGGAATGCTGCTCTTGCAGTTCAATAAATAATACTGAAAAAAAGGAGATGGAGATAGAACCATCGTTAATATTAAAGCTATGTGGTTGATGTTCTGATCAACCACAAGAAGTGGAAAGTATGCGTTCAAGATGTGTTGTTGTACATGGTTGTATAATAGGCTGAAGAGCCTTTTTAACGTGATGTAACACGAATTGTAAAAGAGTAATGACCTTGCATTATTTCCCATTCATCTTGTTCAACAAGTTTCCTAAAAAAATCTTCCATAATGTATGGCACACAAATATGAATTACTCTCTTCACATCAGGTACGTCTACATGAATACCAGTGCCAAATACTAATTTTATAGTTACATTATTTTAGCTGTATTATATTTTAGGTAATGCCATGTACTCAATTGGGAATACTGAAATAAATTGTTGTTGTTGTTGTTGTTGAAAGCACCCAAAAGATTAAGCTTTATATATGTTTTATATATGCAGACGATGCTGTCTTTTTCTACGCTGACTCAAACATCGGGAAAATAAGTACTGTTTTGAATAAAGACCTAAAACAGTTGCAGTCCTGGACTTATCATAATAAACTAAGCATCCATCCTGTGAAGACCGAATACGTTGTTTTCGGTACTCAACAACGAATCGCTTCGGCTATCTTGGCAGACGGGCCATTCAGCTTATTCCTCGGGGAGAAACCGATAAATCAAGTACAGCATTATAACTACCTTGGTGTGCTAACAGATGCAAATCTTAATTTTAAACTACACGTGGATAAACTACTGGTCAAGATTTCCAACAGAATCGGTGTCCTCGGAAGAATTAGAAACAATCTAACTGTTAACTCAGCCAGTAAGGTTTATCAGTCTCTTGTTCTTCCAGTTGTGGATTATTGCGATGTTGCATGGAGCAGCATTGGGAAAAATGAACGTGATAAGTTAGATTGTTCACAGAGAACGGCGGCAAAGATTGCCTTGAAGACCGAAGATTCAGACGCCGAGAAGAATTTAAAATGGCTTCCCTTGTCTACGAGGCGTGACATGCATACTATTAATTTAACCTTTAGATGCTTAAAGGGATCCCCTCCAATGTTTTCTAAGGATTATTTTGAGGCTTTTAGAACTATGCACAACACGAGGGAAGTGGGAAGAACTAAATGCCGCCCAAAGTGAGAACTGAGACGTTAAGGAAGTCTTTTTATTTTAATGGATCAAAACTTTTTAATGATATTCCAAATGAAATGAAGGATCCATGGATCCCTCCCATAGCCATATGCAAAATACATTTCTCTTCTCAAATTTATTTTATTATAATACTGATGTAAATTAATTCCGTAAAAATTGTGCACAATGAAAGTTGATTGATTGGTTTAACTTGACAACATGATCTCTTGATTGTGTAAGAACCTTTTTTGTAAAAAGAAAAGAACAGAATGGGGTTACTTGAAAAATTCGAAAATGGAGGACACGAAAGATCTTATGAAACTGAGCACCTTTATTGCATTCCTTTCAAGGAAAGATGAGCAAAACTCCAATACAACAAAACTTTCCTGAGTTCAACAGATTTCTACTCTGCTGCTCCTTACAAACCTATGTAAATAACCAGGAAGTAAATAGTTCTTACCACTAGGAAATTTTCCCTTCATCTATCAGCACGGCTTATATTTAAATCCTCTGGTCAGTGATGCAATATCCACGGCTGATTTCCATAAACGCTTTCGTGTGTCCATAAACAAATTTTACCATGCCATCGACAGACGTGATACATGTAGTATCCTGATAACTTTGCTTGAAAGCTCTAACAACTGCACCTCGCTCTTTGAACTTCTCCTTTTTATCGAATATGAAGAGAATTAAGAAACCAGAACACAGCTATCGATCCCTGACTTTTTCTAGACGGTTCACCACAAAATGCACAACGAAACCCATTAGTAAAATATTAGACAAGCTTGCAATCGTGTTTGAAGCGGCGACAGCATTCAAGGCGGCTTTCTATTCTTTTTTTAACTCTAAATTACCTTATGTCAACGCTTCTTTCTTCGAGGTCCGACCTGTTTACACCGAAGAACACACTCTATTCCTCTCTCCGCTCCCTCAGGATTAGTTTCTGAGCATGAGCAGATATGCGGGCCAAAATTACACATGCGTTACCGGATTACCATGATTTACAGACATCCGGTAATTGCTGCCACCAGAGCCCTCCGTTTCGCCGACCACGTGATCAAAAGAAGCGGAGGCTCTGGGGACGAGAATGGAAAAATAGCGGCTTGGAGAGGTACCTATGCTTGTGGGGATGTCGATGTGAATGTCGACGAAAGCTTGGATTCAGAGCACAAAGATTAAGGCCTATCATCTGAGCAACTCGAAATCAGTCCAAAGTTGGATTTATCGGAATGTTCAAGCGTATCGACAGCAAAATCAAATTCTAACTCTTCGCGAAAGGTGGGAAAGAAGGCTGTATTCGGGAATTAATGCAATGTTCTCGTAGAGACGACTTGGGTCGAGTAAGCGGCTATTAAGTATGACGTTTGAATCAACTGTCGCGCTGCAATCGCGCTGAATTCGAACTTTATAAAATCGGTTTCGACACGACGATAGCGCGACGTTTGAACCGGGCCTTAAGGCTGAAAACATCAAACCTCGGAAGGCATCAGAAACCACCAAGTAACACAGAGCTTTCCTTGATGATGGTCGTACAGGGTATTCATGATTTTGCTTTCTTCAACACCCTTTCTTGCGTAAGAGCAGGTTATCAAAAAGAGTACCTCTTGCTTATATTCGTGATTTGAAATTTTGAAATCCGTGATTTGCTATTTTTCTGTTCGTGAACCGTGCCAAAAATCCCTCCAGTACGACCCTGTTACTTTTCTCGCAAACGTTTGCAACTTGATACTTTTGTTTTGCTCTCAAAGGTATGTAACATGAAACCCTTGCTTTCTCAAAATCACTCGGACGATGTGCTTGTTTTATTTTTGAGCCATTTTTTTACATCGCTGGATCGAAGATAAACGGAAGAAAGTTATACATCTGATAAAGAAATTCCCTACTATTCAAAACGCAAATTTTCAATTTTGTTTAATTTAAAACGCAAATTTATAATTAGGATAATTCTTTTTGATTGTTCAATTCCTGGTCACAACCGATACTCTGTAACCTAAGCATGTAGACTAGAATATTTTCAGCCTATAGTCGGCAAGAAACAACTATACATACTTATATGCATTGAAGTGTGTAAATGCTTGAGTGAATGTCAGAAGTATACTCTGATGACAAGTATGAACTGTGTCAGTCCATACCTAGGCTGATTATTTTCAATGAAGAACCAGCGCTTTGTAATTTTCACGTGACCAAACCTTCTGTAACGCGTTAGCTGGCTTATATCCTTTTATATTCCTCATACCTGCAGGACCTAATACCATTCCACTTAAAAGTACGTCAAAACCTTTCCTACCCTCAGTTTCTATTTTCATTTTGTATTTTCCGGATGTTATCCTCGTCCTTAGAAAGTAAATACGCGTCTGTAAGAGGACTGTCCCATAGTTCTTTCCCGTTATGGTAAAAGCGGTGCTTTCGTTTTCATCAAGCGAAATTTTGATCTTTCCATTTTGAAGATGACGAAGCACTAAACCAATTGACCACTTATTTGTTTTTCTCGCCATTTTAGGGGCGGTGAATGAAAATTCAATGAAGCTTCCTCCTTTCCTTGATTGCCAACCACCAAACGAATCACTTCTGTCTGTGTCAGTTCGGGTCATCTTTGCACACCTGCTCTGAGGAGTAATTTCATGAAAACCCTTTCGTATCAGGATCTTGACTTCGAGTGATTGTCTTTCGTCTGGCATTCTCCAGTTCGCCGATATGAGTGACCAGCAAAGCGACTTTGAAATTAACGTTTGGTTAGAAAATTGAACAAATAGAGGCGGTNTTCGTCTGGCATTCTCCAGTTCGCCGATATGAGTGACCAGCAAAGCGACTTTGAAATTAACGTTTGGTTAGAAAATTGAACAAATAGAGGCGGTATTTTGTCTATGGACTCAGCTGTCTTTATTACAGTCTTCCATGGATGACAGATCATTCGTTTCAGCTCTTTCTGGAAATAACGAGTTAACATCAATGCAATTTGTGCATGACTCTTGACACCAATATGAATATGATCCGCGTTTATCATGCTTGGCTTGATCTCGATGCGCCGCTTTGATTTTATCGTATCCATTGGACAAACAACATCTCGCCAGCTCAACACAGTTATGTTATAGTATCTGGCAATCTCGTGCTGTCCAATATCTTCAAGATTGTAGCATCTTGGATTTAAAATACTCTTCCACCACTTCACTTTTTCGATCAAGTCGACCAACGTTACATACACAACTAATGGCTCTGACGAGAACGACATTACTCGTCGGGTTAATTGTTCCATCGGTTGAGCGGCCTCACCGCAGAGGTACCCGTAATCATTGACTGACAGTTCGATTAGCACTATGTCGGGTTCTTTAGTCTTTGTTAGATAGTTTTGTAAACATAGGCTGAAGAAGTCACTTCCAGTTCCCCCCAGTGACAAATTTTTAATGGTAAGTTTGGAACCAGTGTGCGGTAAAATCAGATTATTCCACCAATGAAGGAAGAGCTGGTGATAAAGTTGTCTATGATCTGAGATTCCTCCTCCAGCCGAGTTCGATCCTCCAATGACAATCATTCCGATATTCTCTCCTCTCAGCACTTTATGAAAAACCTTCCAGACGCGAAATGTGTTTTGGCCATAATTATAACTGGCCCTGTCAATAGTCTCCTCAGTGACACTCAGTTGCTCAAGATTACGATAAACTAGTCTGTGCTGCCAAATGTTAAAAGGATCTTTGTCGAGCCATAACGGGATGCCAGCGAACGCTGCGTTGGATAGAAGTACATGAACTAAAAACATCCACATTTGTTGGCGCATTTCACATGTAGATGATTAATTCTCTAACAGGTTTCTTGAAACATGAATGAAATCTCGGAAACAGTAATGGCACCTTTCAGGGTAGTTAATGCTAACAGGTGTCATCGTCACCGAGAGTCGACAATGCGTTTCACATCATCTGATTTTTTGCAGTGCTCTCTATGTTAGGACTGCGAAGTTTCTTCCAGAAGCTCAAACAGAACTGAATCAGTAATTCGACTTTCGAAGGCCAAAAGGAAAACACGAAAACTGCAGACTTGTTAACAGACGACAACTATGAGACTTTGAAAACGAATACCTCCTCAACAACGGTACCAAGATAATTCGATTCTGTTTATACCGACCGTTTATTCAAGCAAATAGATTAGACGGATGGGATCATCATTATCTCCAGTACTCGCTTAAATCTTTTCGTCAAAACAAGAAGCCGATGTAGTTAATCCTTTTTAACCCAATTTTTAATATCGTAGATGGTTGATTCTCTAAAGGAAAAAATACTCTTAATAATGATGTGAGCGTAAAATGCCCGATTGCTTTAGGCTGGCATGTTAATCAAGTAAAAATCGCCGATAGCTAACCAGCAATGTGTTTTCTATGATCACTAATGTGACGCGTGTGATGCGGGTGATGTCGGTTTCGTCCTGCTCGACGACCCTTGGACTGATGTCTTGTTTAAAAAGCCAAAAAGATATGCTATTAGTGAACATCTCGAAACGAACCAACTCCCGCTATTCGACATTAGCGAGCTCGGACCGGCCGAGAGCAAAAATCCCGCACAGATACAGAGGAAGACCTAGTTTTACCTCGGTCTCTTTATTGGCAGACGAGGATGAGAGAATCAGCGCTAGGTAGCGCCAACAATTTTGTCCTTGCGAAAAACCCCTCAAGACGTTGAGTGTTTTGAGCTTAACCGAAGTCTGCCCGGTTCTTTACCAGCCACGAAAAACAATCAGGGTGGCCTCGGAGATTCTAAAGATGAATCCGACGTAGAGACAGTTTCTGTCCCTGACTCTGAATCTGGCCAATTATTAGTTCCACACATCCAGCTCGAAATGCCACGGCTTTTAAAGCAAGGGAACGCTGAAAGAGTTCTTGTCAAGAATACTTTTGGAACAGCGTCTGCGTCACATTGCGATCAACGTTTTCCGCAATATTTTACAGCTGCAATGTGCAAGTGCACAATTATTACTCTTCTCGATGACTCGAACATGAAAGCTTTTCAAACTCTCCGCTGACCAAGGTTTTATCTCCTTCATTTGATAGACGTTCCTTGAATTCTACTTGATTGTAATTTTCGTTCAGCAGACTCGCTTGCTTTGCTTTCATATTTTTCATTAAATTAAATTTACAAACGGCGCTCATGTCATGTCATTCCTACTTGCTGTTGTTTTTACCGCATCAACCGCATTTTTACCGGTCGCTTTGTAAAATTAAATCCAATAAAATGAAGCTATATTTTCCAAGTATACAAGCGCACCGAATTTAATAAAACAATTATTCCATTCGCGCTTGTTGGATACGAGACTGGTTATGGCCAACTCGGCCCAACAGGCCTCGTTGGCTATTTACCATCTCATATCCAACGCGCGCTCGTGGAGTAATTGTTAATTATCACCTAAGCGTAACATACTACCGAAACTGCCGCTTTTAAGCCCCTTCGGTTATAGGCCCCTCCGGTTAAAGGTCCATATTCCTGTAAACCAAACAATACACCCGCTTATAAGCCCCCCGGATATAATTCCCCCCTCTAGCTTTCCTTGTTACAAATTTGTCTTATTATGATGATTTAAAGCTTAATCACCAGTAAGTAAAAAACCTATTTCGATCAACAAGTGCAGCTTTAGCTCATTTCGAAACGGTTTTTTATTCCGGTTATAAGACTCTCGGATATAAGCCCCTCCGTTTATAAGCCCATCTATGTCAAATTTTCTTCACTGTTATCACATTCATAATAAATAAAAAATAATAACACTACAGTATTGCAGATTCCTCGATTTTCGCGTCAATTGCCGGTTTTCATGTGACGTCAT